TAAAGAACTGGCCAATTCTGGTTCTTTGAGGAACCACATGCGCCTGCACACCGGAGAACGTCCGTACGTCTGCCAGCACTGCGACAAGAGCTTTCGCTAACGTGGCAATATGCTGGGACACATGCACATCCACACGGGAGAGAAACCCTACCAGTGCGACCATTGCGAACTGCGCTTTTCCCAAGTTCCTGAACTGTGCCGGCATCTGATTTCACACACGGGTGAGGTGTATTTGTGTCCTGTGTGTGGTAAGGCTCTACGGGACCCTCACAAATTGCCGGCCCATGAACGACTGCAGACGGGAGACAGGCCCTATAAATGCGAACAATGTGGGAAAGGGTACACGATGGCAACCAAGCTAAGGCGCCACATGAAGTCTCACCTAGAGGAGAAGCCACATGTTTGCCAGGTGTGCGGAGCCAAATACACAATGATGCAGAGTCTGCAGCGGCATCTGCAGTCTCACAAACATCACTCAGACTCTGGTCATGCATTGCCGACACGAGGTCAGCCCAAAAGGTCAGGCCAGAAAGCAGAGGATGAGCAGGGTAGGACTGAATGCAGTAGTTTGGAGGAGGGACGGGCTGTGGCATATGTTCAAGCCTCAGAAGGTTTCACTATGGTGTCTCACCCAGAAGGTGTCATTTTGGACTCTGGAGTGTACCACCATGGCACAATTGTTTTAGAAAAAGGAGTGGAGAAGGGGCTCGAACGCATTGAGCTCAGTGAGAATATGATTGAGATTATTGTCTCAGATGAAAATACCAAGTGTATAGTAGTGCAAGAACATCCTTCTAAGTGTGTAGAGCTTTAGGAACAGGAAGCAAGTGCTAAATGCCTAGTTGTGCAGGAAAATGATGCCAGCAGTGGCTGTATTGTAGTTCCAGAGCAGGATGCTAATAGTTGTTTGGTCATTTTACAAGGTCCGGATGGTTTAAGTTCAGTCGCACAGACTGTAGAAATAGAGACAGGGCTGTGACACTTAAGTGTTTCCATTTTACATATATATTATGTCTCACACCAAAGGAAAAACAACCTTTGTGAAATAAATGTTTAAGCTCTGTTGAATTTAAGTCTTGCTGTTCTTAGATTTTTTTTAGGAGGGTTTGTGGCACATCAGTAAATATTGACTCCTGTGCGCAGTGGACCTTGTTTCATTACTGTTTATACAGACATTGTACAAGTACACCAGCAAAACACAGCTGTGTTGGGAAATGAGCTAATACTCGAGGAAATTTTATGATTTTGAAATTATCACATCATTTATGCGTTAACAGTAAAATTTAAATGCCATGTTTGTACTTTTTACATAAAGTACATGCCGATTACTGATAAACCAAAGGATAAGCAGAGTGCTAACAGAGCTCTTCAGCTACATAGATACGATCATCATTTCATGATGCACATACATTTAAATAAATATATTTAAAAAGTTGTTTTAGGATATATATTGTAGAGTATGTTTGTTATAAATATTCGAATTTTTTATAATATATCCTCACACATGAATTCACATAGTTTGGAGATATGAAGCTTATCATCTTGTTTTCATTCAGTATATCTGTGATTCATGTTCCTCGGAATCAAAGAATGTTCCACATTGATATAAGGGTGATCTGATACAGAAAAGTGTCTTTTCTTTGAGTGAAAAGTGTTCAGACACTTTGTTCTCTTTGAACTCTGGTAGTTCAATATTAACTTGGTGACTCCAGTAACTCCAGCAGTGGGCTTTTTGACTGATTAGATTCGATGAGATGCTCCCAGGTTTTTTCAGGATTAAAGGCTCAGTCATCCTCAAGAATGGGAGCAAAAGCGGCACCTCTTCTACTATCGCTACTTCTTGGACATGTTCTCCACCTCACATTGTGTACTGACGGTAAGCATTAACTGAGATTTCTCTGCCTTTTTGGCTAATTAGGCTAAGAACAAAATTATAATGTGATGATTCTACATATAGTATGTGAGATGTTTTTGGAAAAACCTTGACTTTTGTGCCTCAGTGTTTATCGACAACAAGGAAGCCTCTCAGATCATTCGAGCAAAGAGGGCTAACGCGGTTTTTGAGGAGTTTAAACCAGGGAATCTGGAGAGAGAGTGCGTGGAAGAGATTTGTGACCACGAGGAGGCTCGAGAAGTGTTCGAGAGAGTTGATAAAACGGTGAGCAATGGCCTCGTGGACAGATTAGCTGCAGTTGGAAATAAATGGAAATGTTTACATTTCTATCAGTGCATTTTTTCAGTGGTATATCTCTATATAAATACAGATATTTGAAATGTGGTATAATTCATTTTTTGTAGTATTTTATGTTAATGATTTTTTCTTCCATTGCCTCACAGGAGATTTTTTGGGCGAAATATTTGGGTAAGAATATATAGCCTATATATTACGGAAAGTTTCAGTGTAAACAGTGACAACATTTTGTGTAAACAGTTTCTATTGAACCAGGGACAAAGTGCATTTTCACAGACCTTTGCCTGATCAATTTACAAATTAGTAAGATTAGTATCAGGTTAAAACAGTAGCAATTATAAACAAACCTTATAATGAATAAATATCATTGGTTGGAGTGGTAATCCTTTATTTTTGAGCTATTTCTAAATCTGAACTGTTTACAACTTTAAAGGGGTCATATGATG